GTGTAAGTAATTTATAATTTAATCTGCCCTAAAATCAGCATTAAAATAAAATGCACAACTACACGCTTAACATTACCGTATATTTTATTTACTATTTAGCTACTAACACAACGTCCTTCATATTATAGTAGGACAAGTTTCGTTTTAAACAAGAAAATGTATACGCTGAGGTTTTTTTTAATATATTGAATATATAGCTGGTTTAGGTACCAACACATTTTATTACTATTAAAAAGTAAAGACATTTGAATTTAAATACAGACTCGGGCACCTAGTCATATAAATAATGGATACTAAGAAAAGGACAAGGGGAAATATACATCTCCCTAATTCCCCCCATAAAAAAGTGCCACTGCAATCGTCTTATAAGTTACAGCTTTTAAGGGATACGGTGTCGGTTTTCTTAATTTCATACAATTTCAAAATTATTTTTAAAATATAACAACCACCTTAAAAATAAGACTGCGCTCCACTAATCTGTTTTCTGATATCTATTAATCCATTAATGTTATCCGTTCATATCGATTAAAATTACAGTGAAATCCGCTTAATGTGATCACTGGTTTATTGAATCAACCATTTGTTGGAATCAAAAATAAAAATCCCAAACCAAATTTTATGTTATTAATGTTAAATTAATCTTTTATTAGAATCATCAAATATCGGATGATTGAATCACTTTTATGAACGTTCTTATCATTTTTATAGTATTATATGTTTTTATTATAGTTATATGTATTTTATAATATGAAAATTAAATTAGTAGATTATCAAGTAAAATCGAAAATAGATACCTAGCTTCTTTATTTTATTTTAAGTTTACATATATATTGATCATTAAAAAGAAAAAAAAATGTTTTATGGAATCAACCGGTTAATAGAACCAAAATAGCCCGAATCAATGTGAACACATTAAGCGGAACTCATTGTATAACGATAGTGCGTTAGGTTATTTTAATTTGAAATAATAGAATTTAAAAATATTACAATACGGAAAAAAACTCGATTTGTTGAATACAAATTGACTATCTGGGTTTGATTTTAAATTTGCATCGCCGTATCAGGTATAACAGAAGAACAAACAACGTTTATTTATTCATGAATCATGATTATTGTTTATTACAACTACTACCATTGAAAATGCTACTGCCCTCCAATTTACCAGCCCCCTTAAATTTTAACGGGGCCGTAGCTACTGAAAAACATTGTCAACACGCCACTGAATTTCATTTTTTCTTAAAATTAAATATTATGATACTTGTAAAACGTGTGCATCGTTCTAATATATTTGTTGTTACCGTCGCCACGTGTTCACCACCGAGAAAATAATAATGTTAATGTACGATGAAGTGTATTGTACGGTTACAAATTATTGTCAGACGAGTCGTCGTCATACTCGCGCGCCAGTTAATTTTCCAGTCGCGAGGTTCGGCGTGGCAAAAACGACCGAGCGATTGAGACGTCAAAACCGGCCAGGCGATGCGGTGGTTAATTATCCGTTTCCACCCGAGTCCTGCGGTATAAACGTGGTATATAATAATACGAACATTGTTGTCTCGTCGACAACCGTATTATGTAGCCCATTTCGAAAAGAAGCATCAGGACTCTGACAAACATAAAAAAAAAAAAAGTTGATACTGCTCATGGGCATGCAGGCCACTGTCGTAGGTGGATAATTGAGAAGGCAAAAAGTAGTGAATCCAAAAAGGGCGAGCCGTACACTCTTAGGTTAATTCATCATTGCGCTCGTCATAAATATGTTTTATATGCATTTTTAAAATCGCCCCTCCCCCTGTTATTTCGCCCCCGAATTATGGTGGACTAACAGTGTAGTACATCCAGCCGTCAATAATAATAATACAATATTCTTAAAATATTTTAATGTATTATTACATTGTTTTATGCGAACGTCACCATACACACTGTCGGCAATATTATAATATTGCCATTGTTATACTCGTATTACATTATGATAGGTACATTTACTCAGCGTTACGCGGTCACCGGCCGTAACGAGAGCAGCGCGCTACTGTCGTGGGCTGATGCCGTTATTCGATAAAAATGATTGAAAATATTATAACATTATTAAAATATTATTGTGAAAATCACTCTTTTCCGGGGCTTCGGGTAGAAGGCCCGGAAAACCAGTTCAGCCAGTTCAAATAAAGTATTGCGTTATATTTCGGAGGACTCGTTTGTGTTTAATTATTTTATGCGTTTGAATATAAACACGTTTTCCCGATTTTTTCTAGCGTTCTGTAGTACTTACCGGGCGAATTGACACCTACATACTCATCGACGAGCACTATTTGAAATATTTAATCGCCTCGATGCACAAGGAGTGACATTCCCTCGTCCGTCCGGTCAGTAATGCTAAGAAGCCAATTCTCGAGTAAAATTGTTGATGTTTGAACAATAACCGAAGATCTTGACTTATTTTTGTGTTTTATTACCGTATACGTCCAATAAGGAACATTCCACATACGACAAGCTGAATGCGACGATAAATCGTTACAAACGAAACACATTCTTGGGCGGAGTAGTGTTAGTCGTTTTTTCCTTTTAATTGTTGTCAAGGTTACTTTGCATTAGCTACCTCATGAAATAGGTTCTCATGTTATCAACAAAAAATTATTTGCTTTTCAAAATATAACGTATTTGAATAGATCCAAAGTGCTACAAGAAAATAACTAAAACGTTTTTGATTATAGTAATATTTCTGATAGAAACGTTATAATTAATTCAATTGTTGACAACTTATTATACCTACGTATTTTCTACACGTGTTATCTACTGTATCATACCGGCCAAATGTCGCGCACTATAAAACATTCTCTCTGTACACTAATATGTAAACGCGTCGTCTGACGCGTACGAACGAACGTTGATTCATGTGTTAATATAGTGTGCTACGCATACTTGGTGGCGCGACCGAAGGAAGATGAAATTGCGAGAAATGAGGCATGCGCGAGTTCGACCGGTTTTCGTCTATCCCCGGGCCGGTTCTCCTTTGAAAATAAATAAAATAATACGCGTCTGATATTTGAGTTTAAATATTATTAGGATAATAAAATAAAATATATATATATATATATATTGATTTCGAAACTATAATATTATATATTATACAGAGTCGAAGCTATAGCTGAGTTTAATGATAAAAAAAAAAACAACCCTAACCTCTATTATAATAACTTGGAAAGTGCCTATTATAGGTGCAATTTTAAATATCAGATTTTTATGAGTGACGATATAATAATATATTATATTTTATGTTTTATCATTAAAAAATCAGTTTTTTGAAATATTTCTTCTAATATTACACAGATATATCTGTATAATAAAACATCTGTATTAGAAAAAATGTATACATACGGTAAATACAATATTTATTTATTCACGAAAGCCATTTTTTAGTGATCATGTAAGAACTGATAAATATATATATATATATATATATCATTAACAAAATATCCAACAAATGATTTTTGATATGTCATTTCTGATATTAATTAGACACGCTGCAAATTTATTCTTATTTAAGATAAACACTTTTAAATATAAAATGAATATAAATTATAACATGTACAACTAAGATCATGTTGAAAACATCTTATATATATATATATATTGCGCACAAATTATTTTTTTGATATCAGAATATTAATGTGGAAAAGTTATCATATAAATGTCTAAACAAATACACTTATGTTCAATTATCATCAAGACATTGTGCGTATGTTAATTAACGAATATGCAAAAACGTATGTAAACTGAATATGAAATATATATCAATATACTATATTTGCTATATGGGATATTAATAGACAGAAAACCAATAGTAAAGCCAATTCATTATTCGTTGAATCAGAATCTAAAACAGGATTTGTGTATTTGACGGTCTGTGGTGTATTTCTGAAAATATCTATACATTTGACAAATCACGTTTTAGTTACTACACCTTTCGAGGTACTGCGAGCAAAATTGGGGAAATTAGCTTAACAAAAAAGGTGTTAAAATAAAAAAGCAATTTTTGGAAAAAGTATGGGAAATTTCGAAAAATGTTCTAAATAAGTACCACATTTATTGTTCGAAGTGTTGGACGCAAAAAAATTAAAAATAAAATTTCGTTTTTGTTATTCAGTATAATAATAATAATTATGCAACACGTTTGTTCACGGGGTTTTTGAAAAACGAGGTAGATTCGGCGAAGACGGACCGGAAGTCAGCCCAAATCAAAGTCATATTATTATTATTATTGTAGAATACATTTTGGAAGGGTCGGGATTAAAACTCGACCCGGAAACGTGTTCGGTCGGCCGCGGGAAATTTGCATTATGATCATAGTAGTTATTATCATGGAAGCATAAACTATATATTGACGAGCGTGTACGAGCTTAATATTATTTTCAGTTCTTTGACCGAATTTCAATATTATTATTAAAACGTCAGAGGTTTCATTGTGATTACGCGGTAGAGCGGACCGCTGTTTCAACTCTGGTATACGCGAAATCGGGAAATTCGATTGCGGTGTTTTGAGACCTGCAGACGAGTACCAAACACATCCTGAATTTATTTTGGCATCACCTATAATGCACGCACCCATATAATGCTGTACGAACAAAAAGTTATTTTCAAACATCGTGCGTCGTACAGGAATCATAGGATTTTAACAGTTTGACTAGTAGTCGCCAGGCATAACGTCTATAAATTTAATACGTCTATTTTCGAAAATGTCAATTATATTCGTAGTGTTAATATATTAATGTCTAGTTTAAAAACATCTACAATTTTCTAAATCTAATATATACATTATTTATTCATAAGTATAGATATTAATATATCCGATAAATAATATTTTTATTTTGTTTTTATACTTACCTATGTATTATATTGCAGACAATTCATCAGCTATAGTTCTGGCATACGGTGCAACAATAACATTGTCGGCTATATACTTCTTGATATTCGTTGTCTACCTTTATTTCGATGTTTATTTGCTGTCCTCGTGATATTTTGTCATTTTGGCAATAACGCTTGAATAGGTAATTCATCGTTTACAGCGTTTTCGGTTTCTTCGCGAATTATATTGGAAGGTCGATTCTTTGACCATTTGAACCCTATATTTTATCCGGGTTACTGTTTTCCTAGCTTCAATTTCGGCCGGGTTTTCAATACCAAGATTGTGTAGTAGTCCCTTTTTAAAGATATTAATGAATTCTTGTTCTATTCTGGTGTTATTTATGCACATTGCGTTACAAATATCTGTTGATTCTCATCTCCTATATAATCTCTGTCCATTTTTGCTCGGCTTTCATTGATGATGAATGAAATTGTTGGCGACCGAAAGATTATAATGATGTTTGTTAGGTTTAAAAAAAAAAAAAAAAAAAAATTATGACTGAAATGAAATAATGAAATAAATAATCCGTGAAATGTTTGTTTATGCCATACGATTATGGAACAAATAAAATTAATTTAAAGAATATTTAAAATCTTTTTTATTAAATCTATCTCGGTTACAGTGTACTGGATCTAGGAATTTTACGCCTTGGGCTACATTAAAAACAATGCAAAGCAAAATAATTTTGATTTAATAGTTTTCGTACAAAACAGACTGAAATTTCCGGCGCCCTCGAGCTTCTGTGTTTTTAAAGTAACAAAAAACAATTATTTCGATTTAATAATTCCCGAATAAAGTTTTTGCGCACCCTCTTGTAAAAAGTTTAGAAATTCATTGTAGACATGTTAAATATTTTTTAATAATATTCTCGTCATCTTTGATTTTTTTTTACCATGCATTTAACCATGTCCTCATACCAACGGCATTAGAGAAACAGTACCCCCTCCGCCGTCCATAGATCCGGTATTGCTTTGTTTCTCAATCATCCTGTTCACGGAACAAACAAATATTCCATGAGTTTGTCAATACAATAATTTACCTCTTAGTATTTTATGGCTGCCAATCTTCATGCAATCTTATGATACTCTATTGTACAGTCCACTATTTACAGCTGTCAATTGTATCCGTGGTAGTGCATAGTTATAGATGGAACAAAATATGTTGTATACACAAGTGAATGTATCATAAATATTTGTGATTTTGTTATCGTTACGCTCGAAATCTAAACGACATCTCCGATAACATCAATGTTATAAATTATAACAAATAATATTATAGCTTAAAATATTATTCACTTGAAAAACTCAAATTTAGTACGAAAGATAGTTGCCTATGCGGTAATATGTAAAGATAAAAATAAAATTGGATCCGTTTCACACTCAAAGAGACCATTGAAGTTATTCATAACGTGTAATAGGTATAGAGAGGATCGATTATAAAATATTTTAACATGTGTGGCCGTTTTGCATTTTTTTTTCAAGTGGCGTGAGATGTAAATATTATTTAAAATAAAATCGTAATAATATAATAACGATGAACGATGTGAAGAGAAAATTACCTCGTCTACGCAGTTCAATATTTCAAATCTGTCGAATTATATTACAGGCACTATTTGTACTTTACAAACAAGAATATTATAATGAGGGAAATGAGTTTCCTTGAACTGTTCGTTAACATTTTATATCGTAAAGTCATAAAATATGAGACGGTCGGTTAAGTACGTCGTCGTGCAGTTTGCAGGTTTTATGTGCGCACAAAACGACTTCGCTGATACCTATAATACTCGTACAGTATACAATATAAACCCGCCGAGATAATAATTATTGCACTTCATTAACTTGTAAAAAAGAAAAAAAAATTAAAATATATAAGTTCGACCTTTGCAGTGTGCAATAGCTTTGTTATCATAATTGTTATACCTAATATTATATTGCTTTACAACAAGTCATGCGCACGTAGTCACGATAACGGTCAGACATTTTTTTTTTTTTTGTCCGATTATAAATTATTTTTTTGTTCGAAAACTGAATTTTCACGATTTCCATTCAATCGAAGGTAACATCGGGTGAATCGTTGACAAATTCAAGTGTGAATCCGCCTGATAAAGAAATTCGAAATAGTTAAAAATCAGGTTTTGTAGACCGACGTGTAGTTGTAGTTGTTGAATTTTTTTTCCTATAAGCGCGAAAGATAATTTCTATCGTTTAAGATACGATGTGGACATTTTAAATGATTTGCACTACTGACGGACACAACCGAACATTCGCCATTGACAACGAATATGGTTTTCGAAATATACGACAGCATTCGTTCAAAACAAAATATCCGAATGAAACATTCGGTAGTTCATCCAAACAATCGAAAACCGAATAATCGAATAATCGATGATAGCATGAACTATTCGGAAGTGCTCATTAACCATCGCTAATTTTCACATACCGCGAAATAATCTCGTGAAATAGCAAAACAGATATAATTATATTGTTTAGTATTTACACATTTCCTAGAATACTCTAAAATCTTATGCGGAGATATTCCACCGTGCATTACCGTAAAACATTATTATCGTTTCATCAAACGGAATAAGTATAGATCGCATATGCGCCCGTGAACGTTGAACGATATAACCAGATAAGTACGCCCACAATAACATTAATAAATTCTTTCGGAAATATCTCTCGTATACGTCGTCTGTTATTCGTCGCTACAGCTTCTCGAACGCAGCGAACGTAAAATATTATGCATCTATACGGTCGGCATGATATTATGTGTATACTTACACTTAATTACCTATTCGTTTAGTTTCGTCCGCCAACGAGCCCAACGACAAAACAGTCGAATTATTTTACTTTTCAAAACTAATAACAAGCGTATAACAACACTGCACTATACGCGCGCAACTATCGTTTTTGGTAAAATATGCGGGCGAGACTAAAGTAAGTATATATAGGTACCTATCTTATATAATAATACTATATTATTATAATTTTTGACGACGAAGTTGCGTGTAGAAACTATGAATAATAACGAACAAATGTATAGTACCACCGCCGTAATATCGTAGTTTTTCAAACCCAATATTTTTTTTATAATATTGTTGTGTCGTCTCGATACGGCATTCAGGTTTCAAGTGAGAATTCATGTGTCTAACCCCTTTAAACCGAAGATAATTGACGCCTTTGTATATAGATACTACAAACACTACATAATTAGATACCCTATAGATAATTAGTTGTTCAATTATCGGTATGGCACGATAATAATATTACTCTAGTCGGATTCGTGCACGAAATTCGTATAAAACGATTGGATGTATGCCCAAAAAGCCGACATTGTATGAGTAAATCTGAATCTTAGCAGCCAGTGTATGCTAATAACCCGTGGGATTTTTATTTATTAAATCGTTTCTATAAATTGGTGGAATAAACAATATATTTTATCTTATTATTATCATGGTAATGCCAAAGTCCTAAACATTTTAATGAATACACATTTTCTTATTTTACACTGCATAAATAAAATAAAGAAATATTTTATCTTTTATTTAGGTAATAAAGTAATGAATTTATGATATCTATATAAATCCCACTGCGCAAAAAACCATTTCATGCATTCTAGGAATATCAATTTTTAAGTAACAATGTTATATTAACATTGTAATGTTTCCTGAATGGTTCAAGAATATTTCACAGAAATAAGAGCAGAATGCATTTTAAGTTCCAACCTAAACATATTGGTGAAACATTCCTAATTCCCATAATTTTTATCAACGTTGTGAGGGGTGAGGGTAAAGTTTTAATTGTGGCTTTATAGGGTGGTATAATTTCGTGACGCTTAAAACTCAAGTTCAAGCCCGATGCCTATTGCTTCAAAGAAGAAATTAAATTAATAAGATAATATAAAAGAAGAAAGTGTTTAAATATCAAAGATTCAATAATATTTCATATCTGATAGGTGGTTAGGTCATACTTTCAAGTAGGTAGGTTATGGGTAAGAAATAAGCAGGCAGGTTTGAGTTTAAGTCCTACAAATGTTCCGAATTTTTATTTGTTTTTTTTTTTTTTTTTAGTATTTCTGGAATAAGTAATAAAGTGTTATAGGAATATAAACAAAAAACATTCCTAGAATATATTCCGGAAAAACATCTATAAAATATGCCTAACATAATTAACTGTTTAGTAATGTATAATATCTAAGTGCGTGACATATTGTGTTTTTGGAATGTATTTAGAACTTCGAGGTAAGTTCCATAATAATGTTTCAATGTTTCATCGGAATATTATGTAAATATTATAGGAACCGATTTTTGCACGGTGGGATAAACATTGATTTATGCATTCTATTCTACATAATATAAACTATTAATACCTAAGTATGACCAACTTAGTGTAACACTTTTGATTTTGTCATAACTAAATCTGATATCTGAAAACAAAATAATAAACAAATAAAGATCGGGATACATACTTCACACATGGGTGCAGCCATTTTTGTAGGTGGAAAGTTGGGAAGTTATGATACAGATAGGAATGTAATATATATATATATATATATTTATCTATAAGGAACGATAAACTATTGCTAACGATAAACGATTCTAAGCGGAGTTCGGTTGATAGTGTTGCTTTTTCAACAATATTATTTATGTTATATTATAGTAAAATGATAATTATAAGCGTTTCCATGGCAATAATAATTGTTTAAAAAAGAGTTAAAATAATAAAAACTTAATAAAAAAAAAAAAAAATTAAAACGATAGCCAATGACAACCTTATTTTTAATCTTTCAATCTTTTTTAACCTAAAAAACCAGGTTTTCCTCATTATCTCAAATATTAATGAGAATTTCAGAAAATGACCTCTTTACAGTACCACTCAGAGAACATTTCCTTTCAGAAAAAGTGCTACTCTTGATAATCGCAATATGCTTTCTAGTATAAAAAGTTTTAACATATAAAAAAAAAAAAAATCATTGTAAACAAATACATTTCATTCAGATTCTAAAATAAGTATTATAAATTATTCTTTTATATTATATTATTATAATAATTAACAATAATATTATTATATAATAATGTATTGATAATACAATTATATACATGCGTTTTTTTTTCATATTTACCTCAATTTACATCAATGTTTATGTCCTGTTTATATAAAATACTCGTTAAATTTTTTGTTCTATTTTGATAGAATGATAGCAGAATGCAATCTTGATTTTTAATTGAAATTTGGAAAATTTAAGCTCAACTGTGGAGCTGGATGTAGGCAATATTTTACTCTAAAGAGACTGAATCCTTAAATTTTTAATTGTAATATGTATTTCGAGCCCATCCGTGTCAGTAGCATCGTAAT